AAATTGGTCTTTTAAATACCCAATGGGTATTTTATTTAGTTAATTCATGACTATGCTTTACTGTTACAGTCATAATGGGTTTTACTGACACCATGTTACGTCATGGGTTTATGAACGACATAAATATATATGTGCTCTAACTACGTTTATTATCTAAACTATATTATATGATACATGTGTTTACATATCAGTGTCCGTGATGGTAGTATATCTAAGATCTAGGGAAACTCTCTATTATAAAGGAGCTGTACGCACCTAGAGTATCATGTTACAGTTTACTCATCATGCTACAATGGGTACAGTATAAAACTTAAATATGGATAAGGGTAGCCTGTTAAAGTCACACATGACCACCGTAAATAAAACTTAAAATGTATCTGTTTGGTAACCTATAAGAGTCACAAATGGACACAGCAAACGAAATTTAAAAATATAAAACATCATATACAAGTAAGGGAACCCTATTTGAGTCACACATGGCCACAGTATATGGAGCATATAAGTAAGGGTAGCCTATTAAAGTCACATATGGCCACAGCATATGCAACTTAAAATATATGTGTTGGTAACCCATTTGAGTCACACATAACCACAATAAATGGAACATAATATTTAAGTAAGGGAAACGTACCTATTTGAGTCACACATGGCCACAGTATATGGAACATTAAATATAAGTAAGGGTAGCGCAATAAAGTCACACATACCCCCATTATGAAAGAACATTCTATATAAGTAAGGGAAACCTAATTGAGTCACACTAGGCCAAAATATATGGAACATTATGTTTAAGTAAGGGAAATCTATTTGAGTCACACATGACTAAAATATATGGAACATTATATATAAGTAAGATAAGTAAGGGTAGCCTAATAAAATTAGACTCAAATACATTTCCCTGAGTTAAACAGTATGTCTAATATATTGTGGCCATGTGTGACTCAATTAGGTTTCACTTACTTATAAAGAATTTTCTTTATACTTTGGCCATGTTTGACTTTATTAGGCTACCCTTACTTATATATAATGTTCCATTTACTGTGGTCATGTATGTCTCAAATCAGGTTTCCATACTTATATTTAACGTTCCATAAACTGTGGCCATGTGTGACTCAAATAGGTTTGCCTTACTTGTATATTATGTTTCATATTTCAAATTTCGTTTGATGTGTCCACTTGTGAGTCTAAAGAGTTACCAACACATATATTTTAAGTTTTATTTACGGTGGTCATGTGTGACTTGAACAGGCTACCCTTACCCATATTTTAAGTTTTATATACTGTGCCCATTATGACTGTAACAGTATAGTATAGTCAAAATTAACTTGATAAAAATACCCAATGGGTATTAAATATGCCATACGATCTGTCCAATTTATTGAAATAACGTTCTTTAAGCTCCCGATGGTATTTACGGGGAAGGAAATTGTTTTGGCAATTTAGTGGTCATTAGCCTCGACGTGACCTATGGAAATTAGTTGCTCCCGCCCCGCCATCTTGTTTGACGCGAAGATATCCGAATGAACCCAACATAATTGTATGACCACTCAGCGCATTGTCAAATGACTTGTGCACCGAACAGTATATCATCTGAACTGAACATAATAATGACGGTATCACACCACAGTTTGTGTTCACTACTGAACATAATGACATCTGCACCGAACAGGATATCATCTGAACTAAACATAATGATGTATCACACAACAGTTTGTGTTCACTACTGAACATAATGACATCTGCACCGAACAGTATATCATCTGAACTAAACATAATGACGGTATCACACAACAGTTTGTGTTCACTACTGAACATAATGACATCTGCACCGAACAGTATATCATCTGAACTAAAACATAATGACGGTATCACAAACAGTTTGTGTTCACTACTGAACATAATGACATCTGCACCGACGTATATCATCTGAACTAAACATAATGACGGTATCACACAAACAGTTTGTGTTCACTACTGAACATAATGACATCTGCACCGAACAGTTATATCATCTGAACTAAACATAATGACGGTATCACACAACAGTTTGTGTTCACTACTGAACATAATGACATCTGCACCGAACAGTATATCATCTGAACTCACCATAATGACGGTATCACCACAACAGTTTGTGTTCACTACTGAAACATAATGACATCTGCACCGAACAGGATATCATCTGAACTAAACATAATGACGGTATCACACAACAGTTTGTGTTCACAACTGAACATAATGACCTTTGCACCCAAACAGGATATCATCTGAACTGAACATAATGACGGTATCACACAACATTTTGTGTTCACTACTGAACATAATGACTTCTGCACCAAAACAGTATATCATCTGAACTGAGCATAATAACGGTATCACACAACATTTTGTGTTCTCTACTGAACATTAATGACCCTCTGCACCGAACAGTACATCATCTGAACTAAACAGAATGACCTCTGCACCGACAGTATATCATCTGAACTGAAACATAATGATAGTACTATTCAACAGTTCTATTTCACGAACTGAACAGAAGGAATTAAGCACCCAACAGCATGTCATTGCAACTGAAAAATAATAAAAGTATACACCCAATAATACACTGCCGCAGCCAAACGAAATGATAGTACCACTCAACTGTTTTATTTTCATGGTTGAACATGATGAGAAGAGCTATTTTAACCGAACATAATAACTGTCACACCCTACAACATATCTTTTTAACTCAACATAATTGTGTTACCACATGCCTGTTTGTTTTAAGAACTGAACAGAACGACTAGTGCACCCGACAATACATTGACTTGACTGAATAAAATGTAATCAGCACACAACATTACACTTTAATAACTGAGCGCATTTGGATTTCCACCCAGTATATTGGGATTTTGACCCAGCATATTGTATCTCGGAGACAATAGAATGACATTTAACAATGTATATCAGTCATTCTACACATAAGACAGTCCAGGCGTTCCATATGTGCTCACCAACTAGCAGTACACAACAAATAGCTGTTACTTGGTGTTATCACCAAATAAAATTTATGTATGTATAATAACGGCAATCCGCAAATGTTACATATCTTAACATACGAGTAAAAAAATGTTTTACACCAATACTTGAAAAATTGCTGAATTAACTTTTAAATTAAACCCTTTATAAGGGACTGACTACAACGACAAATATATCTGATCAAGTAATTACTAAAAAAAAAACACCTCGAACCCTATATGAAAAATTTACGTTTTACATGTCAACACAAAAAATACACATACCTCAATATTCAGACTATACACAATGATATAATTACCCGTTAAATTGGGATTCAGAATAATAAAAAGTTCTGCTCACTGTTCATATCCTCATTCCATGTTCGTGAGTCATCCCGGCTCCTCGTTAATTCTACACGTCGTAAAGATGTTAAATCTATGGAACGCGTTATCCGTAAAGATGTATAATTCCTCCTTGCGCGCGTTAATCCTCTTAATGAATTTGCTAGCTAGATAGACTTAAAACACTGATGCATCAGATTTAATATTATGTAAACACTCTATATATTCCTGTATCCTTTCAAATCCTTCCAAAGCATCAAAAAAAATATAGGTGGTAAAATAATTCTCGTCGATATACGTCGGCAATCCTTAAAGGACGTCGTCGGGATTCTAATCCTCTCTACGTATCCGTTGTGGGAACATCACTTCTGGCTCTGTAAGGACAAGAAACTCCAAAAAGATACGTATCTCGTCTTCTAACTCCGTAGATCTGAAATCTTCCGGTCTCTTTGACAATTCAAAAACCACACTGGCCACCAGTGTCGTAGAGTAAAATATTTTTGGCGGAACAGAAACAAACTATGGGCGTAGGTTCGATGTATTTATAAATCCTAAGTAAAAATGGTCTAAAAATATAATAAAATAATTATATATCTTACAAGTACAATACATATAAAAACAAAATACAATGAAATAACAATATATACACAATCGACTTGGAATAAGAAATTACAAAAATACATCAATAAGAAATACAATCAATATCTAAGTATTATTTTATCTTACAACAGCTTCTGTATGAATATCTTTACTTTAGAAATTATTTCAATATGAATTGAAATATAAAGTAAGCAGTATATCTTATGTTAAATAAATTTAACTAGTTTTACTTAATACGTCAGACTCGTATGAGATGACTGTAAAGAGTGAGCGGGACAGGAAAAGCAAACAGTGCGCAGAAGTAAAGAATATTTAAAAGAACAAATGGATATCTCTCTCACATAGAAACATATAAAACAAAGAAAGCAATTGAACAAGTACAGCAAAGAAAGAGTGACCAGTGTTCACAATATTGCACGGTAGAGCTCGTCAATGTACATCTGTGACGGAAATTGTCGAGTTTCACCGATTCAATACCGGAAGTTAAACTTATATGATAAAAACTAAATGCAACCGAATAAAAACGGGCCTGTACGATATTTCCGCTTAAATAAAACTATGGAAAACCACAGCTGCCATTAACGTATATAATCTGTGACATATATACACAACCTGTTTATAGCTCCAATAACTTTTATAAAGCACTTAATGAATAGTTTTCATCCTTTGGTACTTGCTTTTTGTAAGTTCAATTTCGCTGTACACTTTTAGACTATATATTTTATTATTATTTTTTAGTTACTACAGCTTTTGAAAGCAATCTCAATTCCTACTTGAATATTAATTTATCTGATATCCTTTATAAACAACTTTGCCGAGATTGATAAGTTTGAACTATATGGAATTTATTTCCGGAAAATAGAAACAAAACTGAAACTTATTAGGTTAGTCTTTGAAAAGCAACAGAGCTTGTTTTTATATTTTCTGTTCATTTGTGAAAACAAATTATAAAAGGATAACATATATAGCATTTTAAAACACAATTTAATAAAAAAAAACACTACAAAATTTGAAACGCTTTACATGGAAGATGTCACTGTTATACAAGGATGATGATATGCATCGGATTTTTATTTCTATCTCCACAGGAACTATGGACGTTGTCATCTTCACATTCATTCTGGACAGTTTTCCTCGATACAATAATGCAATGAAACGCATATCGGACATTTTAGATAGGGCAAAAACACTTTTATATACAGTTGGAAAATCGCATCTTTCTAACACTAGCATTAAAAGAATTCATCACGACATTTTGAAGATATATCATTGTGAAAAAGAAGGGTTAGTAAAGCTGGACCTGAATGCAGATAAACTTGCAATGAAGAGCCATGGTGTGCAAGACAAATTAACTTGTAAATTTGACAATACAAAGTCGTTTTTGACACACTATCTAAATTCTTTTAGCTCGACAAATGTTTTGATATTTCAATACTACAACGGACTTATTCAGACACTTGAAAAGTGTCTTCCACCAGAACAACCTGTTATAATTGTTGCAAAGAAACAAAATGGAAACATAACAGAAACATATTGTCATCCAAACTGGAAGACGGTATCAACAGAAGAAAATATTTCTGAAGAAATCAGCTCTTTGCTGGAACAAATGGCATTTCTACCAATGACAAAAACTTTTGAAAATATCAAAAGCATATTCGAAGAAAGTCACGAACATAAAGGTATTTTTTATTTATATGTAGATCTATGTAAAGGCTGGTACTTTGTAACGTGTTTAAATTTTGTGACATCTTCTCTATTAGTGTCTTACTGGTTGATAGCATATTTGAAAAACATGACTAACCATGACATGTCGGTGTGTTTAAATGCGTTCATGGAATGCCACTCTCCTTGAAATTGTTTAAGCCTTTCTTCTACCTCTCTGGATTATCTACGAACCACGATGTATATATATATACATGTATATGTACATGTATAAAAAACTAAACACTGAAAATTTCCAATCAAAAAGATATTTATCATTTCATTAAGAATAACATATTTTTAAATCTCAGATCGGCTACTTGTATATTAAGGAAAATAATATTTAACTTCATTAACTAACAATGTAAATACGCTATCAACTGGTGACTAATTCACATAATCATATGTTTGATCTTTGTAATATTGAGGGTTTCAATGGAAACAAGGTCGATGCATAAATTATCAGATATAAACACCTGATAGTAATTCTTGTATTATAGCTAATTTTGAAATACTAACATGTGAATTTTTCTTGTTAAGTATCAACACCATTGAGTTCAACGAATGGAATGTACAGTAGTAAACACAACCTGAGCAAATTTATTGACGGAGAAATTCGCATTCCAGGCGATGTCAGCCGAGAAATGAATGGTTTGTAGTTTTCTCAAGTATACATAAGGAACGAATCGTTAACTGCACTCTATAAGAATCCGGTAAAGATACTTACATAGCCTGAACAGTGATATACGTAAACGTTATACTTATTTAATTTCGAAGTTCAATTAATGACTAAATGCAGTACTTCATAAATGTCAGAGTATGGTTTTGCACTGTTTGAAACGCCTGTCTATAAATTCAATTTTATATAAGGTAATTGATATACGTAATTACTTATTCTTGCGTCATTTAGGTACCGTTGTTTTATTAAGATGATGTTTGCTACATTTCTATGATGCCATGTCACACAGTCACCACAGCTCTTAACTTGTGATTTGTTGAATCTTATAACAATTTACTTTCAAAGATTAATGAAAAATAAACATCATTCATATTATTCTTTTTACCAAGGATTTAAAAGGAAACTCGATGAAATAAAAGGAAATGATCATACAAAAATGAAAGGTAGGTTGAGTTTTTTTAGAATAATATTTTCGTTCAACAATCTATCAAACATGAAGCATTAAGTAATGATGTATGTTTAAAATAATGCAATTTGATTGTGCATCAGTTAAAAATATATGTTTTCCGGTAAAACATATTATGATAGTTTGTATGATTGAGTTCTACGTCGCACCGCCACAGTAAAAGTCATATGATTTTAATTATGATACCTCGGGTGCAATTCCGTGCCTTATTTCAGGCACGAGCGCGCGTCTGAGTAGAACCATCGACCTTAGCTAGCTAGTAATAGCTTCCTTACATGAAAAAATCCAAAGTCCCTGTCGGGTTTCGAACAAGGAAAGGCATCATATGCTGCTCAAACACCTATTTGAGGACATTATTGAACGGAAAGTTTAACAAGTTTTTTTTTTATGTTTGTACATACACCATGTCATACATTAAATACAGAGTTACATTACACAGAGGTCAGTACAGAATTATAACACTATGTATACTCGTAAACAATGTTTACTTATAAATACGCATATGAAATGTTGTCAATCTTCGACACAATTGTATTTATTGAATATTCATAATGCACTTTTACACTTTTTTGCACTTTTCCATTTTCCCGATTACATTTATAACTTATCGAAAACACAAATATAAGTGTCATGTATAGGAACATATAAGCATGAATGTATTATATTGCATTTAACCTTAGAAGTCTAAGATAAGCAATCTCTCATGGAGAATATTTGTAGGGTGTTCTGTGTTCTAAGATTACTTTTTATGTCGTGAACGGTTGATAAAGCCTTTTTGGAGTTCTTGATTATTACCAAAGACCGCCAATAAATTGGAACCAAAGTGCTCTCGTAAGAATACTTCCGAGTTAATTCTTAGAAAATATCTGCATAATTAAGAGCTAAATTTCTAATCACTGGACCGAGAAAAGCGTGTCGGTTCACGTGTATATGTATCTCATTCAGTTAAGATATGTCTTATTTTTATCAGTAGTGTCTTGTAGGCATTTCGTTAATAAGTAACTTGTAGATAACTATCGATATAGAATTATTTTTGTTGCACTTTTAGCATTTTTATCTCACTGTTTGTATTTGAAAACAGCCATAAATGTAAAGGCGTAAGGCGATTGATGAACTGCTATAAATCTGTCAAAATCTCATCTCTAAACCACTGTTAATTCTAATGTTGCCACACATTTT